CCAACATGCATCGTCAGTACTCAGGCAAATACCCAGCCAGCCCCAGGTCCTGTGGCCATGCAAATGTTGTCAGTATTCGAGCAAATGCTTAGCCCAGGGCCACTTCCCCTTCCGAGGCGGACCTCCACAACCCACCCCTTTTCACCCCCATCAAAAAAATTCCACGTGGGTTTGTTCTACATTGTGGTTTGCTGTCACGACCGTAAAACTACTACATTAAGTAGGAGTGAAGCTGGGCAATCTCTTGAAAGTGTGGTAGATGAATTTGGTATCAATAAATCACATTTTAAGATACTAAGAAGAACAAGAGTTGATTTTGGATTTCCTACTGAAACAGGATATGCTAATAGTAGGGACTGAAAAGAGAAAGAAGATGACAGGCGCCAAATATGGCGATACTGATGATGCAGCTTACCTCTGGGATCCCTGTCAAAGCTGTGGCACTTCGGGCTGCTGCAGAAAGATCTGCGGTGTTTTGGGTGAACATACTTTAAGGCCTGTATGGATTGGCTCTTTAGATTTTGAAATAGGCACGCAATTGGGAACCTGTAGATGGAGTTTTTCCGTTGGGACAGCCAGCTCCCCAAAAGCCAGAGACTTATTAATTATAAATGCTTGGCTGATAGGTTACTAACTAGTTCTTTCAACTTAAATTAACGCATATTTCTTTTCTATCCTCTACCACATGGCGGTACCTTTTCAGAATGCCATGTTCGCCTCCTGCTTCCTCTGCATCTGGCTGGTGACTCTACCCTTTCTTTCCAGCATTCTCTCAGTCTGGCTCTCTTGCCTAACCTCTTCTTTCCTACTCAGTCCTAGTTATTGGCCAGTTGGCTCTTTATTAAACCACTGAGAAAATGACATCTTTACGGTGTACAAAAGGATTATAACACAGCAGGAACCAGAAACCATGTGGGGACATATGTGCAAATTCAGATGGAACTCATAAACTAAAATCCATCATTACTGAAGATCTAAGGTACCCAAAAGTGTAAAAGAGACACAACTACGTTATCTGTGGTATATAAATCTAGTAAAGATGTTTGGTTCATGAGAGAATTATTTTCAGAGTGGTTCTTTCAAAAACTTTGTGTTTTAGACAGGCAAAGTAACAGTTTGTATACAAAGTTAAACAAATGCAACATAAAAGAATGCAACATGTCTTTGCATCATTAATACAAATATTCCACAGCATAAACAAATGTAACATATCTTAAGGTAATATTCTACAACACTCCACCCTCTCTTTTATAGCTTCAGTTTGCCTTTTCCACGTGACCCACACCCACACAGCTATCTGGAGAGACAGAGGTCTCTTCACTGCTCCTAATAACTCACTTAAGAACACCACTGAGATTCTGACCTCACCACAAGTCATCTGGTTCTGACTCGGGGTGGCAAGGCCCACTAAAAGAATCACTCTGATATTTTGGGTAATAACCAAGCTTGTTTAATCAACAAGCCAAACAGGCAGCTTGGCCTCCAAGCGGTGTTAGTTCTCAACACGCTCTTTTGTCCTAATCTATTTCATCCAGCCACATAGTTGAGAATTCCAAATTCTCACTGAGCCTCTTTCGTTGTCTTGGGAATTCTTCAGACTTCATGACCCATTTCGAAAGCTGGTTCCACCTGTGGTCAATCCAGTTCTGGAATATTCTCTACGTATCTGTATCAGTCCCTAACTCCCAAGGCTTGGGGAACAATGTAGAAGAGGGAATGAGAAGAGGGAATGGAAAGACTGTAAACCCCGGCCCAGCACACAGTAACTACGCCGAGGGAAGACGGACAAACACCTCCACGTAAGAGACTCAGATATCGACTTGCAGTAAACACCTTAACCAGTGGATAGAAGAGGATAGAGGCAAAGGGTTCCAAAGGTAGCCACTGTCTTAATATTCATTTTAGGCTCCCTCAACCCATAGTTTTTTACTGTTTTTTTTGTTTTTGAGACAGGGTTTGGCTATCCCTGTTCTATAGAACAGGCTGGTCTCAAAAATCACAAAAATACTCCTGCCTCTGCTTCCCAAATTCTGGGATTAAAGGCACGTGCCACCACTACCCAGCTCAGTTAACAGAGCTTTATAACGGCCTGGCTATCATTTTGAGTAACACTCACCAAGTGTGTAAAGCTCTTAAAATTATATGCTTCTATTGTTTAATAAATAAAGCTCTTTTGGCCAATGGCTTAGCAGAGTAAAGTCAGGTGGGAAATCGTAACACACACACACACACACACACACACACACACACACACACACACACACATGGGGGCGGGGATGGGAGGAGGGGAAAGGAGGGAGGGAGGGAGGGAGAGAAAGCAGAGTCAAAGAGATGCCATGTAGCTGCTGAAGGAGGACATGCTGGAACCTTGGGAATTTTACCAGTAGGCCACAGTCTTGTGGCGATACTCAGATTGATAGAAATGGGTTAATTCAAGATGTAAGAGCTAGCTAGAAATATGCCTGACATTTGGCCAACATTGGCCAGTGTTGTAATTAATATGGCTTCTGTGTGATTTCGTGTCTGGGTGGCCAGGAAATGATTCAGCAGACTCCCGATTTATCAAAAGATAAACACCCCTATGATTTCTATCCCAAGCCTACCTTCTAAAACGTGATGCTTACCTCTGAGTAATTTTGCCCTTCTTATCTCTGCACTATTAATGATCAATGGCTGTATCAAGACCATTATTAGATTCCTTCCCAGGAACCAGTTTTGCAAAACAAAAATATCCTGTCTTTAAAAAGCCTGATAGTTACTAAGAGTCGTATGATGAAATCATTACTTTTGCATACTAACCTAAAACGTTAAAAAAACAAAACACAAAGCTTCACAGGAACACAGCACCCTAAACAGAACTGCAAACATCTATACTGCTATAAAAAGGAAAAGAATCATTTTTGCAGGCCCTTCATCACCCCGGCCACCATTCATGTCAGCTTCACCCTGCTAACATAGAACAGTTCAACCCAGGAAAACAACACCTTGCTTCAACCAAGCAAAAGCTACCTTAGTTAGAACCTGCACAAGGAAAGAACATTTGTCTGAAACGTATCAACGCAAAAGTCCTCAATGAAGACTCATACATACTCATGTTTCCTGGGAGATATTTATTATAAACCTTTCAAACATTTTCAACAGGGAAAGACAAAATTCCTAATTTCTTTAGGATCTGTTTTGTTTCTGAGGAATCACAGAAACTTGCACCCAGAAACATGTCTCTAGAGCACAGTGCATCTCTGGCAGGGGAAGAGAGTCTCAGTCTCTGGAAAGGTACACTGTAGCCACAAACCCATTTAAATTGTAAAAGGCTGGGCTCACCTGCAGACTTAGGACTTCCTATGCCTCTGGTTCCCTTTTTTCTGAGGTCACGTTATATGCCAATGAGCACTCCTGCCAAACTACTCAGAGGAGTATTGCAATGGTAGAACTAGACTGCCCGGGACTTCCCAGCCAGTGCCCTTCAAAAAGATGCAACTTAAAATCAGTCTTGTTGACCTTCAACTGGTCTCCCAGCTGAACAACTAGCCCTTCTTTGGCTCAAGGGCCTCAGGAGCCCAAACTCTCCTGCTAAATGTCACAAATAAAGAGGGAATTGAAGTCCCTGCTGGAATACTAGAATCAGTACAGCACCTAAACCATACTGTAGTCAAACAAAGTAGGTATACCCAAGAACAGAGAGAAAAGGGGCTCTGGGCAGGAGACTTCAAAGAACTTGAGTTCTTCCTTCTAGAGACTGAACTTTTTAGTTTTAAGCTACTTTTTCACCTCTGAATCTCCCTTAAAATAAGTTTCACTTTTTCTTTATATTAGTTACCAGCAAAATACACCAAATGGGCAAAGAATACCAGCTCTGGATAACAACCTCTGACAACTTTTGTCAAAACTGTCTCTAGCCAGTGTGAGTTCTCTGGTGACTTGTAAGGCGGGAGCTCCGGGAGAAGCTTTCTCCGCATTCAGAACATTTATACGGCCTTTCTCCCGTGTGGGTTCTCAGGTGGCGAATCCGGTTGGAACTGTGTGAGAAACTGTCTCCACACTCATGGCAGGTGTAGGGCTTCTCTCCTGTGTGAATTCTCTGGTGCCTGATTAAGTTGGATCTATGAGAGAAGTTTTCCCCACAAAGGGAACACTTATACGGTTTTTCTCCTGTGTGTGTTCTCTGATGTCGGGTAAGGTGCATGCCCTGCCGGAAACTTTTCCCACAAGTTGAACATTCAAAGAGTTTCTTCTCCACTCTGTGGGCTCCGGGGTTTGTAAGAAAGGGGGTGCTGTCATTCATTCCTTGTCCGCACTCAGGGAAAGGGTCGAGTCTCTCTTTCTCGTGGGTTCTCTCGTGAATGACGAGATGTGAGCTGCGAGAGAAACTTTTCCCACACTCCCGGCACCGATAGGGCCTCTCGCCGGTGTGGATCCTCTGGTGCCGAAGCAGGTTGGAGCTGTGGGCGAAGATCTCCCCACACTCAGGGCACTTGTAGGGCTTCTCCCCAGTGTGTGTCCTCTGGTGTCTGTGGAGGTTGGAGTTGCAGGAGAAGCTTTTCCCACAGACACTGCACTGGTAGGGCTTTTCCCCCGTGTGGGTGCGCTGATGGCGGGTGAGGTGGGTGTTCTGACTGAAGCATTTTCCACATTCAAGGCACTTATGGGCTTCCTCTCCCACGTGTGTTCTGTGCAGTGACAGAAAATGTGGGTGCCCACCAAAGACTTCACCACATTCTACATCCATGCACAGTTTTTCTGCCGCGTGTATTCTCCGGTGCCTAATGAGGTTGGAGTTATTAGAGAAATTCTTGCCGCACAGAGAACACAAATGGAGCTTCTTGGGCAGTTCCTTTGGCTGCACCAGCCCTCTACAACTTGTGGTTCCCACTAACGACTCCTCTATTTTGTCCCCTGGGGGACATTCCCAATGTCCTTCTTCTCTGTCATCAGGTCTTCCCTGCTCAGGACTCCAGGGCACCTCCCTTCTGGCCTGGCCAGGCAGCAGTACTGGAGGATGGGGACTCTCGGGAGAGACAGACGCACCGCTTCTTTCTGAGTTCTCAAATTTTTCTACCCCTAGGAAGAGAGAACAAACCAATCTCTAGATTATTTTACAATGGAAAACAGAAATCTCTACAGGCCTTTCATAGGAGAGGCCCTGAGAACAGAGTTCAGCTCAGTTTCCCCCATCCCTGTCTGGAAAGCATGCCGGAGAAACGTGTGGCGTAGAGACTCCAAGACGCAGAGCTCAGAACCCTTTGCAGGCCCCCACCCTGCTTTCTGGCTAACCGTAACCCCTCCGGTATGGATCGAGGCTGAGACTAGACAGAGTTAGGACCTCCTCCACTCCTCGCTTTCCTTGCTAAGTGTGCAGGAGACAAAGCAGTTGTCCCAGTGAGCTGCGCTGGCCCTGTACTTAGATCCCCAAATGTCGTGCACTGTGGGAGCCCTCAAGCCGTTTGCCTTCACTTCTCACCTGGAACTGGGTCTCTGGGGCTCCCGCCTCCCTTGTAGCTCGACACACTAGGGTCCCACGGCCTCCCTCCTGGCTCCGTCTGGGTGCTTAAGGCCTCCTGACCAGGAATGCAAGACTCTGCACAATGAAAGAAACATCACCACATTCTTCACCATGCAGAGAAAACAGTCCTGTTCCCTGCCAGCAGCAGAGAAACCAACTCTAAATCTGACACATATTCATCAGGAAACACAACAAACCATTCCCAGTAGTTATGCGACAGGAAAAAGAAATTAGAGAAGACTATGGGTTTTTAAATATTTTCAAAGAACTTGAATTTGTTTAATGAGAATATGCAATTTGTAATTCAAGTAACTATAAAATAAACACAGGAGGACCACTTGAGATTCAACTTACTTTAGTGAAAGTGTGGCTTTTTAGATAGTGCTAAACTAAACTGTAAAACTCTAGAAGAAAACATGAAGTCAGTTAGAAAAGAACCCAAGTTCTTAGAAGACCATGAGATTAAAACCCGTAAATCTTCCTGGGCTGTGCTAAAAAGGAAAGCAAACAGCTCACTCAGGTTCCAGCAGGAGCTCATTTCCAACAAACCAGTCTCTGTCGTCAGTTGGCAGAGCAGCGGAAAGGGACGCAAAGCCCAGAGGGGCTCTCGGTGCAGGAACGTGAAAACATGGCCAGCTCTAGCTAGCTATGGAAAACCTGCAGTGTGAGGTCCTCCCGGTGTGTGCTTCAGCACAACTAACCATACTGCACACACAACACGGCTTGGATAGACTGCCTCCAACTTCTTTTTCTCCTGAGACAGGGTTTCTGTGTAGGCCCAGCTGTCCTAAAACTCGCTCTGTAGACTATGCAGGCCTCAAATTCACAGAGATCTGACTACCTCTGCCTCTGGAGTGCTGGGATTAAAGTAATGCACCACCACTGCCCAGCACCTCCAACTTTTTCTTATGAGAAATTTCATCTACACAGAAAAGCTGAGGAACTATGTAATACTCACATATAGTCCACCTACATTCAACTAAGTTTGCCTTATTTTATTGGCATCATTTTTAACCTGTGCAGAATTGTTCAACACACACTTTAATTAATGTATTATCTAGCCTACATTGTGTATACATTGTTCCAAATTTACAAGCCCCGCCCCTTCCTGGACTTTTACAGGCTAGGAGAGCTAATAAACTGGCGTATTAATGCCAAGGCCCTGGACTTTCTGACTTTGTAAGATGTCTAGAAATACCAATACCAATGGAGCGCAGGGGGTGTAGAGGCCAGACAGAGCACAGAGCACTCAACATGTGATGTGGGCCTGTGGTCACTGGACGCTCTCTACAGCTCAGACTCTGCCTTCAACCCCAGCAACAGACACATAGTCTAAGGATGCCAGTCAGTCTCTCTGTGCCATGTGGCAGATGTTTCACTGACCACAGCAGGAGAAACTTTAGAGCCAAGGGGGAGAGGGGACCTCTCAACAAAACTCAGAGCTCATGGCCAGGTGGAATGTGTGTCCAAAGACCAGGCCACCCTGGTCATACACGTCAGCATCCCAGCCAGAGAGGGAGATCTTACCTAGCGTGCCCACGTTCTCATAACCATCTCGAACCATGTCCCTTGAGAGAGCTCTCGTACTAGGATCCTGACGGCCCCACTCCTGAGAGATATACACCGCCATGTCCTCCAAGTTCTCGGGCAACTGAAATAACACAAGATCTCCTTTAGCATCACATGCAACAAGAACAATTCAAGCACAGTCACGGTTAAAGGCGGGAAATCAGGAGTGCCAAGGACACACGTCATGGGGGAAGAGGGGTCCCAGGCCTCTAAGTGATGGGTTGAAAAGACATAGAGGCTAAGGGAGGTATCTGATCAGAAAGAAAAGATCCCCCTAGTAGCCGAGGGGCACCTCCCACCCCAAAAAGAGAGGAGAAAAGGAGGGTTCTGAGGGGAGGCAATGCGATGTCCACATCACCTGGGAACCAGTCATATCCTTATCTTCCATATTCCCTTCAGGAGGAAAGAGGGAGAGCCAGGGAGCAGATAATGCTGAAGATGACAGAAATCACAATGAGAACAGTAACACTAAATCTTGGCAACCCACAGATTATTACAATACCATATGAATTCCCCAGCACATGAATGTATATGAATGTCCGCTTTTAGGCTGACATTAAACAAAAAGTAGCAAAAGGTGTAATAATGTGATCGAAAGTAATGGGGCGGCCTTACATCCCCGACAACAGTGCTCTAACCACACACATCCCCACATCAATCATCTCACTACACAAGGGGCTTTTACTAAGAGTCCCCTTTTCCTCCCACCCCTCACAGAACTCACACCACCACTCTTGGGTTTTTCAAACCACATCTGAGAACCTTAACTTCAGAAACTCTTTCTCCTTGGCACCTCTACTACATTCTACTAAGGTCAGAGGCAACCCCAAAGCCCCTCCTCCCTCCCACCAGCCCAGATAACTGCCCCTCACCCCTCTCCTTTACAGCCTGGGGGTCCCTTTGGGGGCTGGGGTCTAGCAGCTCCTGCAGCCTGGGACCAGGGCTTCGCTCAGTCTCCATGGGCTCCAGCTTGAAGCTCGGTGACTCTCCTGCTGTTTCCAGTGGCAAAGGCTCCTCCAAAAGCACTTCTGCTCCCCGCCCTTGGTTTGTGACCTGGGAACCAACCCACATCACTCATCATCACAACAGGGCTGACAGAAAGGGAAATTAGTACAGGATGCTTAGACAAGCCTTCAGAAGAGAACCACGGACCATCCCTTTGGTCTTGGCCAAGAGGATACTTAATGCTAAAGGCTTTTTAGATTGTGTGTGACAGAGAAAATGGGAGGGACAGGAGCGAGAAAAAAATGAGGGTCCACTGCCAGCACACACCTCAATATACTCTTCTGAAACACCTCACCTCTGCTTGCTCACTCTCTCCCCCTTTCCCTGGGTGCTTCCATTCACTACTAGGTAAGGTGAACTTATCAGGCAGTGACCACAAAGCCTAGTGTTTAGCTGTTTTTCAAAGTTCGATTAACAGAGATCCAACTCTGCATCGGAGATTTTTGACTAAAATACACTGGGTATTAACCACTAAGAATAAGACTGGGGTGGTGGCATGTCTGTGGTAATCCCTGAACTAGGGAGGTTGAAGCAGGAGGATTGCCTTGAGTTTAAGCTTGGGTTTTACAATGCTAGGCTCTGCCTTTGAAAGAGCAAAGTAAAGCGTGATGGCACACGCCTGTAACCCTAGAACTCAGAATTTTGGGAAACAGAAGCTGAAGGATCGCCACTGGTCCAGAGTCAGGCTGAGCTACACAGTGAGTCACAGTCAGCTTGGGCTACATAAGACTCTGTCACAAAAAAAAAAAAAAAAACAACAACAACAAAACCAACTTCAAAGCAGTGGCAGCAGCATCAAACAAACTTGACATACTGTTCTCTGACCCTCAAAACTGTCCCCAGACAATACTTTAGCATCTTCATTTTATCAATAAAAAAAATAGGACCAAACAGATTAAGTAATCTGCTCAAAGTCGCAAAGTACTAACAACAGGACTAACTATGCGACGCCCACACTCTGAAATAAAGTCCTCGTCACTGCCCACTATCGTCATATGGGGAAAATCTGGAAGGAAAATGTTCCAGATAAACTACGAAAATCCCTCTTTCTTATGTAATGTCCACTCAGGGCAATCAAGTATATTCGACTACAAAACTAGACTAGCACAATGTTCCCTTCTTCCTGGTCAAACTACGGATAAAACCGCTCTCTCTGTCACCTGTTGCCTCAGTTTCCCAAGTTCTCTCTGCAGACGCTCCACAAGGGTTACTGCTTCTTCGCCGCTCTCTGGGCGCAGCTCCTGCACCCTGCTCTGAATCTCTTGGGGAAGGATAGTCAGGAACTGCTCCAGCACCAATAGCTCCAGTATCTGCTCCTTGGTGCGCATCTCCGGACGCAGCCACCCATGGCAAAGCTCCTGAAGCTGGCTCAAGGCCTCTCGGGGACCAGAGGCCTCTTGAAAGCGGAACCGCCGAAAACGCAGGTGGGAGGCCTCAGGGCTGGGCTCTGGGTCCGGCGGGGGTACCTCCTGGCTCCAGGTGCAGTCCTCCTCCAGCTTCACGATTAGGAGCCCTTCCGGCTCCTGGGAGCCCGGGCCAGCAGCCATGGTCATGTCCCCAGAGCGCCTAGGTCCCGAAAGCAGTTACGTCTTCCGCCCAGGTTCCGCACAACGGCAGAGCAAGACTGCAGCAGCCGAGGGGGGCCGGGCTCCAAATCCCACCCGAAGAACCCAGGTCGAAATCTTGGCACTAGCCCTGCAGCGTCTCCACCTGACCAGCTTCTCGGGCCCGCACAGAACTTAGCCCTCTGGGCCCGTGGCGGAAGTTCCAGCGCGCGAGTTAGGCGTCATAGCCAACGGCCGCCGGGCGAGACGGACTTCCGATTTACGTTTGGCTTCCTCGGTCTCCCATTGGGTCGGGTCTCGCCACGTACTCACGGCCGACCAAGGAGAAGGGAAAATTTGCATTAAAGAGCGGGAGGAGAAAGTGTTCACCTGTGGATGGGAGGCGGGGCTAAAGAGTGGGCGTGGCTTCCAGATGGAAAGCCGTAGGAGTGGGAATCGCTGGGTGGGTCTAGCCGGGTATGACCCGGGTCAGATTTTCTTAGGAAATTTGCCAAAAGGTAAGTTCCTAAGCCGCGCTTTGGGGCCCAGAAATGCCGGTTGTTAACTCCACAAAGAAAGCCTTCCCGAAGGCCGATCGCAACACCCCAGAGAACTAAGGCCTGCAGCAAGAGATCGCTGCACGCCGCTTACTGGGCTCGAGCTGTGCGGCTACTGCCGGGAAATGTAGTCCATAGAACGCCCTTGTTTGTTTCTGCGCCTGCGGTGTGGATCAAGCATCCCAAGCCAGCTGAGTTCCAGCTAGCACAGTAAACCATATCTAGGTGCCTGTGCGTTAGCCTCCCTTTGAGCGGTGATCTCTAGTCCTCCAACTTTAGGCAGCTCGTCGACCCAGAAGAACGCGCTGGGTATGACTTGTTCTCTCGCCATTCTCCCAGCGCAGATCTAATGGCCGAGCTCTGTGAGCAAGATCACCGACTGTAACTGTCATCCTGAGGGAAGATGCGAAGGAAATATCAGGGCGAACTCCCTTCTCTTTTGAAGAGAGAACTGCCCAGTCCTAAGAATGGTGCGTGTCTGTGAAGTCCGCAGATCCTAGGAGTGTGTCTCGAAAATCTGTACTCGGCTTACTGAACACGTGCTTACATGAAATAGGACTTTTCACGATATTGTATGAAAGAGGTTTTATTATAAGTCCGGTGATTGTGGCATCGAGAATCGGTTAATAAGTCTCTTGCCCAAGATCACAAGCTAGCCTATCGCGAAAGTTTAGGCTATGGTGTTTTGGATAACCCTGTGTAGAATCCTGAGCCCTCATTTCACCACAGGTACAAAGGCCCACAAGGCTGCCAGGGCAAATGCTTGTCCAGACGCTAAGTAGCGCATGGGCAGGTATAGGTTCATTCAGAAAAACCTTGTTAAGGCTTGTAAGGTTGAACTAGAGAGATGGTTCAGCAGTTAAACTTCCCTTCCTGGGGACCTGGATTCTGTTCCCAGCAATCACGTGGTGGCTCACAGCTTTCTGTAGCTTTAGTTCCAGGGGATCTGACACCCTCTTCTGGCCTCCCAGGGCACTGGTGCACACCAGGCATCTATATGCAGTTGCAGCCCAAACTGAAAGGTTAATGACCTAAAAGCTTTGGACAGGAAAGCAGACTTGGCTGATAACAGCTGTGGACTGTCAGGAGTCAGGAAGCTTCTGTTAACATCAATTACCAACCTGTTTTGGTATTTACTGGGAGCCCCTCCACGAGCGACCGGACCCCTCCCCCAAGGACCGCCAACTGCCAGGTTCCACCTATAGAACATTCTAACTGCTTCAACTACTAGACCCTGCCCCCACGCTAAAGAGTAAAAAGCCCAACTTCACCCTGAAAAGTTCCATCACCCCCTCCCCCCAAAAACCTCTATATAACCCTGCCTTCTGCTCAGTTCTCTGCAGTTTCTTATCCAAGCAGGGGCAGCCACTGGAGCGGAACTAAGACTTAGTACTGTATGGCAGGACTGAAATTCCTAAAGAGAGCCCAGGAGAGGTTACTGGTGAAAAGTAAGCCCAGTTGTCATAGGAGTCCAAGAAAGTGTTAGAAAGGTCCGAGAATGTGCAAGTTTAAGTAAGCTGAGGATAACTTAAGTTCTGAGGGTCTAAGGAAGCGTTGTCTGAGGCTGTGAAAGCTTAAGTCAGTTCTGAGGGTCCCAGAAAGTGTTGTGTAAATGACAGTTCTGAAGGGGAAACTATTTCATCTTTCCCCTCTATGCTGTTGTTAAGCCTATATTTAATAGCTGAACCAGACACTTGCATGGTTCATCAGCAGGTTGCCAAAAGGAGATACTTGTCCCTGTAACACTTAAACACCTAAATTGATTTCTAAAACACCTGTCCCTTATTTCTTTCCCTATGATCAAACTAGAGATCACTGTCGATCTCTAAGGCAGAGGTAAGCTGCCCTTAGAGATCCTATAAAAGATAAGATTCGACAACTTCAGATAGACCTTCAAAAACATAAGAAACAACCTGATGCCTCCGACCAACGGATCCCTGATGGTCCACTATAGAACTGGATGCTACCCTTCTTAACGTTTCTTCTTCTCCTTTTCTTAATCCTACTAGTTGCAACCTGCATTATAAACTTCTTGTCTAGATTCCTTCAGCAGCCTATTCAAAAGATTTCAAACCAGACTTTAACCAGTTACTATTACAGGATTACTAGCCACTAGCTATGCAGGAGACCTGCAGCACCTGGTTACATCCGGACAGTGAAGATCAGGATTGCCCCAAGAACCTCGATGCCCCAATTCAACAGGAAGTAGTCTAAAGATAATACCTCCCCTTTCCAACTCCTGGTTTATTAATGAACAAGAAAAGGAGGGGGGAATGTAGGGTAAAAAGGTCAGCCAAAGAAACCCACCCTGACCCTGGAGCTAGAACCACTGAAAGAAACAAACTTTAACTCTGAAACCAGGACCAAAGAAACACACACCTTGATCCTGAAACCAGAGCCAGTGAAATAAAAAACAAACCCTGGTCCTAAAACTAGAGTCAGAAAGCTAAACAGGCCCAGTGAAAGAAGCATACTTTGGCCCTGAAACCAGAGCCAAATCTGTCCCTGACCAACTGAACACTAAACCAACTAATCCCTGAGCAGAAAACCAACCAGTCCTTGAGCAAGAAACCTAGCCAATCTGAGCTTGTCCAAGATCAAGGGGATTGAAATCTGACCATGATGAAAATCTTCACGCTGGAAAAACTCTGCCCTTAAGAAGCCCTATATAAACCCCGTATCTGTTCAGTTTGATGCTGCCTTTTCCCACCATGGCAAGGAAGTCACCCTCCTGGGTTCTTTCCTCCTAACAAATCTCTTGAATGAGGTTTGGGTGACAAGCTACTTTCGAAGGGATGGAGTTCAGCAGAGAAGTGACAACTTTTCTCTGGAGCAGAACAGAACAGGGCGGAGCAGGGCTGTAGCACTTTTGATGGGGAAACCTTCTGGCTTGCCTGATACAGGACAGATATTTTGAATATTTTGGAAGAAACCTTTAAACAAACATGCTTGTGTCTAGAGTAGGAGGAGCCTTACTTCAACTCCAGAACCAGATTTTAATTGAAGTGGGACTGCATATGATAACTTTAAAAAAAATAGGACATTTACACCGTGTGTGTGTGTGTATGTGTGTGTGTGTGTGTGTGTGTAGTGAGACTACACAAAAAAAATAGGGCTTGGAGCGGAGAAGGAGAAAAGAGAAATAGGGAATGGGGGTTCTCTTTCCATTTCCCCGATTGCTTACAACATTTGTAAAGGTACCAAATAATATTGATATCTAGGGTGCTGTTAAGTGGCCCTTTGGATTAATTATCTAGGGGGCATTGAAGCTAAACTTGATTGCAAAAGAGAATAAATCATAAATCTGGTCCTTTCAGGTCAGGCACCAGGTATAGAGACTGGAGGTTTTCTAAGAGGCATTCCAAGAGGGAATGAGAGGGTATAGAAGATACATTCCCATGGATGACAGAGAAGGGAAATGTCATTGCAATCTGTAGTTGCGGTTGTCCCCAGGACTCGGGGAGGACCAAAAGAGGACCAAGCTATTCAATGAGTCATCAGCACACTCACCAGGTCAGGAATTCTTTTGTCTGAGCCTGAGGAGAGACTTGGCACCTGGTACCAAAAGGTGAGGACAACTAAGTTCTAAGAGAGAGGCCTTTTCCATAGGAAACCGTAGGGTATGGGGTCACAAAAGTCACGAGGCTTTAAGCAGCTGTGGGATCACAGGCAGTTCCAAAGGGAAGATGGGAGAAGAGGGCAGAAAGGGATCAATAGACCAGTAGGGCTAAGAAAACTTCAAGACTACAGCTCCAAGAGTTAGGGAACTGGGCTGAAGAGGATCGGCCATAGCCTTAAAAACTGTGACTGGAGGTTCCTCCATCTCCAAGAGTACCAGAGGGGTGCCAGACACTCAACAGTCACTTCCTCAGACTCAGAGAGGAATAGTTACACTGATCAAAGGCGAAACTTAAGTAATTGCTACTGGTAGGTGGGGTGCTGAGCGACCGGTGAGCTGGAAGGTGAGTCTGTTGTGGTGTAACAGAGGTGAGGGAGGAATAGGGTCCCAGTGCAACTGAGGCCTATGAAGGAAAAGGCAGGCACAAGGAGAGGCTAATGCAGGTTTTGGCACCAAATGTAAGCATTACAGCTCAGCTAGAAAGGCATTCTGGCAGTCAGAAGCCAAAGAAAACCACAAAATCACACCACATAACAAACCTCACACAAGAGATTTATTGGTAGTGAGAAAACCCAGGAGGCTGGCTGTAAGCACTGCCGCTCCGGTGGAAAGGGATCCTGGAAGCCAGGAGCCAGAGCACCACAGTCACTGTTAGTGCAGCAGCTTACAGCCCTGCTCCAGGGAAAGGCTTCCCCAGCTTAACAGCTCTGCCCAGGCAGGGGAGGTGTGGCGGCATTTCATTTGTATTTTAATAAAGAAAACTTCCCTGAGGATTGAAAGAGTAAAACAGCCACACTGGTCAGCCTTCCAGCCAGGCAGTGGTAACACACTTTGATTCCAGTAGCCACATTAGTTGCCATAGAAGCCAGTCGGTACATGCCTGTAACCCCAGAACTAAAGAGGATTATATAATGGGAGGAAATAGCTTAGACACAGTCACATTTTGAGATTCCTGGAGGCAGGATCACCATTTCGGACTGAGGTAGAGGTAAGAGCCAGTGGCTGGCGATTTTCCTTCTCTGACCTTCAGCGTGAATGCCAATATCTGTCTCTGAGTTTTTATTAATTGT